ACAATGGCATGATCTCGGCTCACCACAACCTCCACCTCCTGGGTTCAAGCAATTCTACTACCTCAGCCTCCCGAATAGCTGGTACTACAGGCTGGGCCACCATGCCCAGCTAATTTTTGTATTTTTAGTAGAGATGGGGTTTCACCACGTTGACCAGGATGGTCCCAATCTCTTGACCTAGTGATCCACCCAACTCGGCCTCCAAAATTGCTGGGATTATAGGCCTGAGTCACCACATTTTCTTTTACCATTCATTTACTGATGGGCACTTGAGTAACTCCCAAACCTTGTCTACTATGACTAGTGTAGCAATAAACAGGGAGTGCAGATAGCTCTTTGATATGCTGATTTCCTTTCTTTGGAGTACCTATCTAGCAGTGGGATTAGTGGATCATATGATAGTTCTGGTTCTCGATAGTGGTTGTACTAATTTACATTCCCACCAATTATGTAGGAAGGCTCTTTTTTCTACATATCCTAACCAGCATTTGTTATTGCCTATCTTTTGAATAAAAGCAATTTTAACTGGGGTGAGATGATATCCCACTGTAGTTTTGATTTACATTTCTCTGGTGATCAGTGATATGGTGTACCTTTTCATATACCTGTTTGCCATTCGTATGTCTTGTTTTGAGAAATATCTAAGATCTTTTGCCCATTTTTAATTGGATTGTTAGATTTTACTTATCCTATTGGGTAGTTAGATTCTTTTTCCTACTGAGTGCCTCCTATATTCTTGATGTTAATCCTTTGTCAAATGAATAGGGCTAAATATTTTCTCCAGTTCTGTAGATTGTCTCTTCATTTTGTTGATTGTTTCCTTTGCTGTGCAGAAGCTTTTGAACTTGATGTGATTCCATTTATCCAATTTTACTTTGGTTGCCTGTGCTTGTCGGGTATGACTCAACAAATCTTTGCTCAGTTCAGTGTCTTGAAGGGTTTCTCCAAAATTTCCTACTAAAATTTTCTAAAGTTTCATAGTTTGAGGTTTTACATTTATGTCTTTAATTCATTTTGATTTGAATTTTATTTATGTTGCAAGAGATAATGGGCTAGATTCATTCTTCTGCATATAGATACTCAGTTTTTCCAGAGCCATTTGTTGAAGAGACTGTCTTTTCCCCAAGGTATACTCTTAGTGCCTTTGTAGAAAATGAATTCACTGTAGGTGTATGGATTTATTTCTGAGTTCTCTTTTCTATCCCACTGGTCTCTATGTCTGTTTTTATGCTAGTACCATGCTGTTTTGGTTACTATAACTCTATTTTATAATTTGAAATTAGATAATATGGTTTCTCTAGTTTTCATTTTACTCAGAGTAGCTTTGGCTATTCTCAGTCTTTTGTGATTCCACATAAATTTTAGAATTGTTTTTTTCTATTGCTCTGATGAATGTCATTAATATTTTGACAGGGATTGCAATCTGTGGGTTGCTTTGGGTAGAATGAATATTGTAACAATATTGATTTTTTTGAATCCATGAACATGGAATCATTTTCCATTTTTTGTGTCTTCTCTTCAGTTTATTGCATCAGTGTTTTCTGGTTTTCATAGTAAAGCTCTTTCACTTCTCTAGTGAGGTTTATTCATAGGTACTTTATTTGTAGCTATTTTCAATGTGATTACTTTCTTGATTTCTTTTTCAGATTGTTTGCTGTTGTAATAAAAGATGTTAATGACCTTTGCATGTTGATTTTGTATCCTACAACTTTACTGAATTTGTTGTTAAGTTCTAATAGTTTGGTGGAGTTTTTCAGTTTTTCCAAAATAAGATTATATTATCTGCAAACAAGGGTACTGTCACATCTTCTGTGCCAATTTGGATGCTCTCTATTTCTTTCCCTTGTCTGATGTTCCCATTCAGTATGATACTAGTTGTGAATCTGTCATGTATGGCTTTAATTGTGCTGAGATATTTTCCTTCTCTAGTCAGTTTTCTGAGATTTCTTTTAATTATGAAGGGATGTTGAATTATATCAAATGCTTTTTCAGCATCAATTAAAATGATCATTTGGTTTTTATTCTTTATTCTGTTGATATGATGTATCATATTGATCTCTTGCATATGTTGAGCTATGATTGCATCTGGGATTTATCCAAATCCCACTTGGTCATGATGAATGATTTTTAATGCATTGTTGAATTCAGTTTGCTAATATTCTGTTGAAGATTTTTACGTCAATGTTCATCTGGGAAATTAGTCTATAGTTTTCTTTTTTTGATATACCTTTATCTGCTTTTGGTATCAGGGTAATACTGGCCTTGTAGAATGAGTTTGGAAGTATTTCCTTTTCTTCTGTTTTTTGGAATCATTTGAGTAGGATTAGGATTGGTACTAGTTATTTTTTTTTTAATGCATGGTAGAATTTAACAGTGAAGCCATCAGATCCTGGGCTTTTCTCTGCTAAGATTTTTTTTTTTTTTTTTTTTTTTTTTTTGCTTCAATCTCATTACTTGTTATTGGTCTGAATCCAAAATTCCGGTTTTGGATTTCCTCATGGTTCTATCTTGGTAGGTTGTATGTGTCTAGGAATTTATGCATTTCTTTTAGGTTTTTCAATTTATTAGCATATAGTTGCTTATAGTAACAATCCTTTGAATTTCTACAGTATGGGTTATGTCTCCTTTTTTGTCTCTAATTTTATTTATTTGGGTATTTTCTCAATTTTTGGTTAGTTTGGTTCAAAATTTGTTGATTTTATTTACCTTTTCAAAAACCAATATTGGGCCGAGCATTGTGGCTCACGCCTGTAATCCCAGAACTTTGGGAAGCCAAGGCGGGTGTATCATCTGAGGTCAGGAGTTGGACGCCAGCCTGCTCAATATGAAAAAAACCCTGTCTCTCCTAAAAATACAAAAATTAGCAGGGCATGAAGGCTGGTGCCTATAATCCCAGCTACTTGGGAGGCTTAGTAGGGAGAATTGCTTGAACCTGGGAGGCAGGTGTTGCAGTGAGCCAAGATTGCACCACTGCACTCCAGCCTGGGTGACAGAGTGAGACTTCATCTCAAAAAAAAGGCAATTTTTTTTTTTTTTTTTTTTTGTTTCTTTTTGTCTTTTTTTTTCAATTTCATTTATTTCTGCTCTGATACTTATTTCCTTTCTTCAAATAATTTTGGGTTTGGTTTGCTCTTGTTTTCCTATTTTTTTTTTTTAAGATACATTGCATTGTTAGGTTGTTTATTTAAGGTTTCTTTTTCTTTTCTGTACATGCTTATGACTGTACACATTCCTCTAGTAATGCATTTGCTATGTTCTATAGGTTTTGGTATGTTGTGTTTCCATTTTCATTTGTTTTAAGAAACTAAAATTTTCTACGTAATTTCTTCATTGACCCACTGGTCATTTGGGATCATATTATTTAATTTCCATGTGTTTGTATAGTTTCCAAAATTCCTTGTGTTAATGATTTCTAGTTTTAATCCATTGTGGTCAGAGAAGATACTTCATATGATTTCATTTAAAAATATTTAAGATTTATTTTGTGGTCTAGCATATGGTCTATCCTTGAGAATAATCCATGTTCTGAGGAGGAGAATGTGAACTCTGCAACCACTGCATGAAATGTTCTATAAATATCTCTTAGGTCCAGTTGGGCTAGGATACAGATTAAGTATGATGTTTCTTTGTTGATTTTCTGTCTGGATAATCTGTCTAATGCTAAAAGTAGAGTGTTGAAATCTCCAGCTATTAATTTGTTGAGGTTTTTCTTTCTCTCTGGGCTAATTCTAAGGGTAACTGGAAAACCCAAGTTATGCCACATTTTAAATAATACATTTTTTGACCACAGTTTTTTTGAGTAGCTTTTACAATTTTTCCTGGGTTTCTGATTACCTTGCCTTTTCCCTAAGCAGCCACTTTTGTTATATTTTTAACATGGAAATTAAAAATTTAAGCTATTTATCATATGGAATCCATGTTGTTCAAAAGGGCATTATTGTTAGAGGCCTATACCTTTCTGCTAAAGCATGAAATAATTGCTCTATGGGTTGATGGCATAGTTAGCTATTAATCTAGGATTCTTTTTCATTTATTTACTGCTTCTTTTACACCTTATACTTTCCTTATTTGGGTTCTTTGTTTTTAATTATTATACAACATTTTTTTTTTCTATGAAAAGCTTATAAAAGGTAAGCTTTCTGAGATTAGGTAGATATAAAAATTTATTTTATCTTTATATTTAATCATTATGCTAACTGCTTCTAAAACTGGAGGTTTATAATCATTTTCCTTACATATATGGATACATGTTTGTATTGTTTTCTAATATCTGGTATTGCCAATGAGAATTCAGATGTCAATCTTAAGTTTTCCTTTAGAGGAACACTTTCCAAAAGTCACATTGTGTCTGGGATAGTCTTGTGTCATTCTTATTTTTCTAGAGTAACATTAGAAGCAAAACTTGAGCTACAAAATTATCCAGGATTGGATTATAAATTACATAGTCATTCCTTTTAGAAATTGTCTTTATATTTGTACTTCTGAATGTTTGTGAGGTCTATGTGGGTCAATTTTTGTTTATTGAATTTGGCACTCAGAAGCATCTATCATTTGAAGATTTACCTTTAACTATTGAAAATGTTATTCTATTTATTAGTATTATTGTTTCATTATTTTACTTCACGTTTTCTATTGTCTCTGTAATTCAAATTTATTGACTATTGGACCTCTTAAATTTATTAAGTTTGTTATCTTCTCTTTTTCTATTCTATTTCTTTTTCATGTCTTATGATTTATTGCTGGTAGGCTGTATATTCTAGAATTTTTAAGATTTTTACCTTTATTCTTTTAATTCTTTTTATTTTCAAAAGTCACACTTTAATTTTAAAGTCTTCCTTTCTCTGTGACTTTTGTTGTGATAGACTTCTAGGTTTTCATGTATTACATATAAATATCTAAAGGAATATTAATTAAATTTTTTGGAAATTGTTCTCCTTACTTTGGACTGTTTTCTCTCAGCTTAGTCATGTTCTTTCTTTATTTGAATTCTTCCCTTTTTTTCTAATTTTCTCAAGTATCTGTTGTACCTTGGATGTCAATTCTTACTTGAAAATAAAAACTAAATTGACTCATGTTAGCAGTTAGCTTCCATTTTCTCTGTTGCCACATAGGCGAGTTTTTCTTCCTATACCCTTTTTACCCCCTCACCTATAAAGAATTATATTATTAATAGAAGCTGTGCTTACACTGACAAGCACTTCAACTGATAGCTTTGCTTTATGGTATATACACAGCAGACAGGCAAACACAGTCTTCCCCAAATATAGAATGTACTGGGTTTGCTCAGGAACATTGATAACTGAAAAGCCCACTGTCTCCTTTTGTTCTGTGTTTTGCATTTAAACATTTGTGCATTTTTCATTATTTCATCAGAATTTTAGGAGAGACGAAAGAAAACATTCCATCTTAAACTATCCTTTTTAATAAAGAATATATTAATATTTTTAGGAAAAAAAGTCTTATAAAAGAATAAAGATTTATGCTAAAAAATTTGTAAAACTTGTTAAATAAATTTAAGAGACTGCTCTACTGCAGGACTTTTCAGAGCATTTAATATGGCATATTTCAAGGACAATTTTTATATGCAAGACATGCTAGGGTAATGCAAAAGCTCTTTTTATTCTATGAGATGTTGATAAGACAATCAAAAGGCCAAAGCAATTACATTAACAAACTGAAATTCAGCAAAGCTTTTAAAGAATAAAAAAAATTAAACTTAAAGAATGTAAAACTAAATAATGCTATGAATAAATGAACTATGAGACTCTTGACATTTTATGCTAAATTCCAAATTAAGTTTTATTAATACCTTTTCTAGTTCTACCAATGTATTATGATTTTTGAAATTAGTACTTGAGTAACTATATACAGTTAGGAAAATGTTTTATATACAGTCCTTTCTGCTTCCTAAAAGAGGGCTAAGTGACAAGATGTAAGCAGGGGAGAGAGCAGGGCTTCTGGAAGATGCTCCCAGTTCCCCACTCTGATGTGCCCAGGTCCTTGGCCTCTCTTACCCCAGGAATGGGGAAAGGGGCCCCAGAGGCACGGTGAGCTTACTATTGGAATAAATGTCATGGACCCAATGAGTTTAGCAGAGAGTGATTTATTAGGCAGAGGGATAAAGAGAGAGAGAGCGCCCACGTTGCCGCAGGAGGGGATCCAAGGAAGGAATCCCTATACTTAAGGAGTATCAGGGTTTTAACCCTGGAGTTATTCCCTTCCCATTCATGTTCTCATCCAATGAGAGGAGTTCTTTCAAACGTCCTCTGAAGTGATTGATCTTTGACTCTAATACCAGATTGGCTGCTTGGTCTGCAAGAGTCCCCTCCTCCCAGAGCTTTCAGCCTATCCGGATTCCTCTACCTACCCTGTGCTAGGGAAAGTCAGACAAAGAACCCTAGGTTCCGGGATTGGGGTGTGGATGGAGGCATGGCACTGGGAAGCTCCTGCTTTTGAAACCACGCCCCTTGTGGACTCCGGAAGAGAAGTTTTTTTCCTTACATGGTTCCTCAAATATAGATAACCTCAAGTGAATTAGGCGTTCTTTTAAATAATGATTCAAAGTTTGGGATTTGTTTAAACTCCCTGTACTTTTTTCAGATTCTATGAAAGTAGTTTCCTTATAAGATTTCTGTTTAGATTGGAAATTCAAGGGGAAAAACTGGTTGACATTATTTCAACATTTTTAGTGCTGGCTTCACTTATTATCTGAAAGCACTGAGGGATCAACAATAAAAAGTAGTGAAATGGAATTTCGATTTAACTTTTTTAAAGTTCTAAAAGGTTTTGACTCAAGGCAAAATTTAGAGAAATGGTGGAAGCCTACTTTAGCATATGTATTTATTTTCTGTTGATCCACTAAAAACAAAGTCACCATAAATCAATAAAGTTGTCTAAGTATTATTTCCAAATTATAGTTAACATTTTAAAAAAATGCTTAAAATGAAATTTAAGTCTGATAATAGAATCTCAAAACATATATGCCAAATCTTTTACATACATTATATTTGATATGTACTGTATTTATTTAAAATTATATCACTACTGTATTTAATTTATCCTGATCTCCAAATGACAAACTTCTTTGTACATAAAGTTACTGGCAACATCATTATTTTTTATGTTTTAAGTTTCTCTATGTCAGAATATTATTAGACAAGTAACACTACTTTTTATACAACATATTAAAATATTTGGTGGAAGATGCTATTTTGAGTATTTTCATCACTTACCCCCACACAATACACACAAAAATACTCTAAAGAAAATTTTCAATTATCTTCCATCTTAGATATGGAAAGTTTACAAGATTAACCAGATTTCAGAATTCAGAAACTGCATAAACAGTGACATCATGAACAACCAATACCACCAACATGAAAGCATACCAGTCAGTATAACTTTGTTCAGAGCTGTTCGACATCATGCCCAAATACAAGTATTGCATATTACCCTAGCCCAGCTAGCCTTTAAACCATTGAGTGGTGTTGCTTGTGTTGCTATTGTTGCTAATAGTTGATTTCTCTTTTTTTTCACATTTTATGATTTATTATAAGGGATATTACAAGGGATACATATGAAGAGATGGTTAGGGTGAGGTATGGGGGAAGGGACGTGAAGCTCTCTGAAGCCTGACCTCTTGGGTTTTTATGGAAGCTTTATGAGGTCAGCATTCCTTCCCTCAGTTATTGGGTATAACCCTTTCTGGGAAAGGTCACATGACCCACACTCAGAAAGGTGGAGGAAGATTAGAGTCCTGCCTTGGAACTGGTGAAAGTAGGTCAGGAGAAGATCTGAGCATTCTGTTTTCTGAAACCTGAAGCACCCAGCATTATAACAGAAGACTACAACAAAGGATCTAGGAGTCATAAACCAGTTCCTGGCTTATATGTTTTATATGTTGTATATTACATATGCACATATAAGTATATTATGTTGTCTATACATATAAATACATATTTGTGTGTGTGTGTGTGTGTGTGTGTGTGTGTGTATTAAATAACACTACAGGCCAACCTTTAGTTTTTGAACATGGATCCTTTATATGAAAATAATACACATAATCATTAATAATTAGTCCAGTCAATTACATGGTATGAATGTCTTCCGGGTGAGGCCTCTCAGGTTTGTAGCTTTCTTTCAATCCCATAAGATTCCAGAAGCAGATGTAATCTTCACAAATGTGTATATATCTTTTAAGGATATGGAATAATTGAGCTAAAAGACAATGTCATCTCTTGCTCTGAGACCATTTCCAGTTGTAATGTAATATTGAATTTCCTTCAAGTTGTAACCCATATATTTATTTCTTGACTGTCAGCTATTTTTCTTCTTTTCCTGTATTTGTTATTTATTTTTATCAAACTTTCCACCTTTTGGAATGGCACTATGTTCAGCCACTGTGCTGATCCAAATTGCTAGTAGTGATACCAGTCTGTTAAGTGCTGCCCCCTTAGTCCATTCCCATTCGTATAGCGTATGATTACAGAGGTTCCCAACTAGTGAACATCTTAACCACAAGGCAATATAGCTGTATTCATTCTTAACCCCCATTTTGCTAGATTGAGTGAAGGCACAACTCATTCCCATCAGACCCTTAGGAATTCTGACATACGTTTAAAAAACATAGTTACTAATTTTTGCTTAGAAATCATACCTACTTCCAGCACTTGTAGTTGCAGGCCTGGTTCTAGGACCACTGCATCAAAAAAGAAAAA